ATTAAAAGGTCGCGTCATTAGGAAGGTTGAGAACCACTGACCCAGAGGGAGGATGTCACTGGACCAGAACAGCCAGTGTTTCCTCCTGTTGCACAGAAGGTCCATCCATACTGGTTGCAACCAGCTCGGCAGCATTTACAAACGACATCTCAGACAAAGGCACTGCTACGTCAGCATATCAGATAGTAAGCATCATTTTCCATAGGTCACCGACCTCGCTGGACAGGCCACCTGTGATTGGGGGTTAAGGAGCCCAGCTTGGACCGAACTTTCTCCCTTAGCATCGGATTAAGTTGAAGCCAGCTCATTTAACAAACATTTTTTAAAGGCCCGCTCCTTTGGAGGTCCTCATGCAAAATGAAAGAACAGGTCTTTTGTTAAAAAAAATTTATCAAGAATTTCTAGGCATATCACACACACCCACACACACACCCTGTAAGTTAGCTTTTCATCTCATCCTTTCCCCTAGCTTCGGCTGCCATCACATAGCTGTGTTTCTTGCCTCAATTCCATTAAGTGTCCGGCCCAGTTATCTAAGGGCATCCACAGGGATGTCTTCCTACCATCTCCAAAGTGGAGATCATCCTTCCCCTACTTCCTTTCCCTCCGAAATTCCCCTGTTCCTCATCATCTTCCACCACCTGAGACTTCCGATCTATTGGGCCACCCACTTGGTGGTCAAGTCTCCTCGGTTCTCTCTCGTCTGGCTCTCACACCATGGCTCACCACTTTTCCCACGACCACCCTCCTCGGGACGGCCCCTCCTTCAGATCCGGTCCCCGTCTGTAGTGCTCTACCCAGGATGCTGGTGGCAGAGTGGTTAAGTGTGGGCTGCTAACCGTGGGCCAGTTGTTGGAAACCACCAGTTGCTCTGCAGGGAAGAAACATACAGCTTTCTACTCCCGTAAAGAGTTACAGTCTCAGAAATCCACAGGGGGCAGTTCTGTTCTGTCCTATAGGGTCGCTCTGAGTTGAAATCAAGTCAGTGGCAGGGAGGGAGGCTCCACTTGGGCTGCTCTGTCCATGAGCACCTCTCCTAGGCTCCTCTCCCCAAAGAACCATCCTGAAGATGTCTCTTCTGCACTGAAGACCGTCCGTGCCTGTCTCAACCTACGGAGTTAAGACACCCGCCTTTGCTTGGCATTTAAGGTCTTGCAGTCGGGCTTCAAACCTTCTTTTCCGCGATTGTCTCCTACCCCTCCATTTCATGTCCCTGAGGATTCAACCCAACTGTAGAACCATCTGGTCCCTCAACGGGCCACTGTGCTTTCCCGCACTTTAAAATAGAAATTGCTTTTGCCTATGAACCTCCAGTGCTTAGAGCTTGTTTCTTCCATCACAAGCATGCCATCTCAGTGGCTCATTCCCCGCTGCCACCCAGGGTGTCCCCTGCATCTCTTCTGTTTTCTTTCCTCCTCCACGTCCCAGCTTTCCTAGAAGCCTCCGGTGCAAACTTCTCTAGTGTTACTGTACAACAAAGCTACAAGGGGATGGTTTGAACCAACAAAATGTTATTTTCTTGCAGTTTGTTGTTCCAAGTAATTTCTGAGCTAGAGACTACACAGAACTCACAACACTGCCTGGTCCTGCAACAGCCCACGATGGCCGCCATGTCTGAGTCCACTGTGGCCGACGCTGTGTCCATGGGTCTCCTTGACTCACCTCATTGAGGGTGTTCCTCTTTTTCTCTGGCCCTCAACTCTACCAAGCACAGTGTTATTCTTTAGGCACTGGTCCCTTCTGGTAATGTGTCCAAAGCACACGAGACAAAAATCTCACCATCCTCACTGCTAAGGAGCATTACTCTGACAGTCCATGGTTTGTCAACATTCCTCACCAACCAGTTCTTCGGTCTTCCTTACTCATTGTCCAGCTTTTGCATACATAGAAATGACTGAAAATACACCAGAGCTTGGACAAGGCACACGTTGGCACTTAAAGGGCTTTTTGAGAATTTAAAGAAGTCCTTTGAAGCACACTTTCCAAATGCAGGAAGTCGGTTGGGGTTTTCCGTTTCCAACGTTCTATTGGGCACTGGGTGAAAGATACAAAGCAAACTGATTCTCCATTCAACAATTCACACGCGTTACATTTCACGACATTGATTGCCATCCCACAGCACTCGCCACATCCTCCTGGTGTTTGCCATTTCCCCTATCGTCTGCCTCTGTCCCTTCCTACCTCCCGAGCTTCAGCCCGTTTTTATCTAAAGGGTACGCACCTCCTTGGGATTACTGTTCCCTTCACAGGTCTGTTCCAGGCTCAAAGGGTGATGAAGGGTCTTAGTCTTGGGGTTCCACTATTCTTGATCAGAACAGAAAGCCTAGTCTTTTTTTTTTTTTAATTTTGAGTTTTGTTCCACATTTTTTCTCCCACTCTATTGAGAATCTCCTAATGCGATTCCTTTTGGAATAGTTGGCAGGGATAACCAGGTACAATCTAGCTATTCTGGTCTCCTCGGAGTTGTGGCAGTAAGGTTGACTAACTGTTCCTATGCACTGATTTTCTTCACTCTTTGCTTCTGAGGGAGAAAGAAAAATATTGTAAGCCAATCCTTCACGAGCTTTTGAGAGCTGTCACTTTTCCAAAGGAGGATGTAGGAGATTGTCTTTGTAACATGAAATTCTTGACCACTTCAATCTTTTTTCTGTTTATTGTGATGCTGCTTATAGGTCCAGTTGTGAGGACTTTATGTTGAGGTATAATTCAGATAGAAGACTTTGATCTTCATCAGTACGTGCTTCAAGTCCTCTTTGATTTCAGCAAGCCAACTTGTTTCATCTGCACATTATAGGTTTAATGAATCTTCCTCCAATCCTGGCGGCACATTTTGTATGTAGTCCAATTTCTTGGATTACTTGGTTAGCATACAGATCAACTTAAGTATGGTGAAAGGATGCAACCCCGACACCCCTTTCCTGACTTTAAATCATGCAGTGTCCCCTTGTTCTGTTGGAACGCCTTCCTCTTGGTCCATGTACAGTGTCCCTGTAGTTAAGCATTCTGGAATTGTGATCCTTTGCAATATCGTCCATGGTTTGTTATGATTATCACAGTCAAATGCCTTTGCATAGACAATGCAACACAGGACACATCTTTCTGGTATTCTGTGCTTTCAGCCACGATCCAGCTAACGTTAGCCATGGTGTGCTTTGCTCCATGCCCTCTTCTGAATCTGGTCTGAATTTCTAGAAGTTCTCTGTGGCTGTCCTGCAGCAACTTGTGAAAACTTGCCTGGTTTAGGAGGTTAGAAGCCCAAATTCAGAGGGCTGGCTCTAGGAGAAGGTGTTCTTTTCCCGTCGGTTCTGCGTAAATGTCCTCCTCCTCTTTTGCTCCTGAGTGAACTTCATTTGCCTTGGCATCTCCTTCCCCAGCCCCACTAGCTCCACTGCTTGTTTGATCTCTCAGAAGAGATTGGTTCAAGACACACTTTAGCCTAATCTAGCCTCATGAACATTCCAAAATGGGATTAGAAACACAGGCAGCAAGGTTAGGAATTAGAACACATATTTTGGGGGGCACAAGTCACTCCATAATAGATGGTAGAGGATTAGGCACCTGGCAGGTGTGAGTGGAATTCCTGCTGGGTTGCTCATGGGGTGACCTCAGCAAGTTACTCAAACTGTCAGTTCCTTCCACTGTAAAATGGGAAAGAGCACCTTTCTAGCCATTAAAGAATTAAGGGAGGTAAAGTGCATGGAGTCTTAAGGACAGTACCATCATTTTTTTTATCATCCCAGAACCACCCGTGCTGGGCGGGGCGGGTCTTCCTTGGTTTCTCCCCAACTGCACCAGGAAGATAGCTCAGTCACCTATCTGTCATCAGGTTGTGAGAGCCTGTGTGGAACTGGGTGGAGGTGTGGCACTCAGGTGCTCAGGTAGCTGGATTGTGTGTCTAGGGGTGGGGGGAGCTGCTGCCTCTGCTCTTTGTTCCCACACATGGCTCAGGCAGCAGCGTAGGCGTCCCCAGGGAGGCGGTGACAGCTTCAATTCTCACCTGTGACAGCTGGGGCGACAGGGGCCCCCCAGGGGAGGTGCAGGCTGACCCCAGGGTGCCTCAGGAGGTGGGGAGGGACTGGGAGGCCCAGGCTTGAGCTGAATGCAGCTCTAGGTAGCCCCCAGACTGTTCATCACAGGGCAGGGTGGGGTGGGAAGGACCCTGGCCCCAGTGTCCCACAAAATGACTGAAGGCCCCTGAGTCCCCCACCCCCACCCCCACCCACCCAGAGCTCTGCTCATCATCACACCCAGACAGAGGAGTCACACCTGAAGATCTCTGTAGGGCTTGTCATGCATGACGTCCATTCTGGAACCTTCGCAGTCAGTTCCTTGTGTCTCCAGGACTGAGTTTTCTGGTCTGTAAAAGATGTGTCTATCCATAGCACTCCCTTCTACAGGGTTTTGAGAACAAAGAGTCGAGGGGACCGGTGAAGTAGAAAAATTCTTTATTGAAAAGAGAAGGGGTAGCCCCTTACAGAGATGCCTCCTGGGCCCTGGCCAAGGGCAGCTCAGCAGGCTCTCAAAGAAGAAAGTCCATCCGCAGGCCCCTTACCGTTAATAACCTTAAAGGGGAAGTGCCGTGGGGGGGCGCGGTAAATGCCAGAATCAGCTCCCAAAGAGACCACTTCCAGGCGTAGCCTTTAAGGTCTTCCGTGGGAAGTGGCCTCGCGCGGCCGACCTGCGCCAGGTGTGAGCGGGGCGGGGCTGGGCATCTCCGCGTCGTTACCTTTAAGATCTCTTAAAGGGGAGGCAGACGCGCGCGGCCTACGGAGGAGAGTTCCGTCCAGGAGTCTACGAAGCCCTTCTCCAGTTCGCGCTTGTAGCACCTCCTTACGGGAGAGGGGGCCAGGCGCGAATTAATGAAACATTTAAAACCTCGTAAAACTTTCCCTTCGGAACAACCCCCGGCGCGCGCCCGCCCGCCCGCAGCGCCGCCTCCCGCCGGTCTGGGGCGCGGGCTCCCCGCGGCCACCCCGGGGCAGAGGGGCGTTTTTGGTTTGCTAGGCAGGCGGCCGGCCTCCACGAAGGGAGCCGGACTCGGGCGGACGGAGGGGCGGGGACGGGCGCAGGGAGCGGTGGCCATGGCGACGCGGTGGCCATGGCGACGGCGGCTCAGAGCACGGAGAGGTCGTGGCACGACCGCGAGCGCTGCTTGAAGAACTTGGCGTTGCGCGGCACCAAGTTGGCGAGGAAGCGCTTGGCCTTCTTGGTGAGGCTCTCGCGGCGCGCGGGCGG